AAAGATAAAAACCTTATCATCACGGACGCATATGCGAATGTAACAAGCTAAAGTAGAAAATGTATTCTACTTTTTCTTTTGTAGATATTTTATAGAAAGCAATGCCAAGTCTGATTATCTGTTTCTATTTAGAAAAAAATTTTCTGCGCTGACCGCTTATCGCAATTCACACACAAATCACTTTCTCCCCCCCCCCCCCCGCCCCGATGCCCGCCCCTGATCTCATTAGCACCCCCGTCCCTTCAGCCACTCAGACATGCTCCCTCACCCCTAATCATGCAGTGAAGAATGACTCGACAATGGTTAAAAGAAGAAACAGATTGGCTATATCTTGTCAGTTTTTGTCTCGCGTGGTAATTAATTTTATACATAGCAGAGTGAATCTCAGATGTCTACACAGCCACACCATCATCACCATCATCAACACCATTAGCACCACCACCATCATCACCATCATCATTACCATCAGCACCACCATCATCACCACCATCAACATGATCATCATCACCACCATCAACACCACCATCAACACTATCATCATCACCACCATCATCACCACCATCAACACCACCATCAACATTATCATCATCACCACCATCAACACCACTATCAACACTATCATCATCACCACTATCAAAATTATCATAATCACCACCACCACCATCATTACCACCATCAGCACCACCATCAGCAGCACTATCAAAATTATCATAATCACCACCACCATCAGTACCACCATCAGCAGCAGCATCGCCCCCAGCATCATCACTATTACCAGCAGCATCCCAAATACCACCATCCCCATCACCACCGTAATCACCACCATCATCATTATCACCTCCAACGCCAGCAGCATTCCCGACCCCCCCCCCCTCCCCACCCTCTTCACCATCCCCATCACAACCATCATCATCACCGCCAACATTATTAACACCTTCACTATTAACATCGTCATCGCCATCCACACAACCATCATCTCCATCCACATCAACACCGCCACCACCCTTACCATCATTATCATAACTACCACCACATAACCATCATCACCATCACCTTAACCATTTTCAACAAAACCACAATCCACCGATATCACCACCATCGCCATCCCCACCACACCTAAAACCATCATCAATACCAACACCAAAAATATAGCCATTACTTTCATCTTTTTTCCACTTCACCAAAAAACCAGCAAAACACCAAAAAAAAAAAAATCCCATACCTAATGACGTTAAAAGTCTAGATCAGCATCCCAATGCATGTTCACTTCAATTGACCAAAACCCGAACAAATTAAACCTGGTAACGAAGTGACTCGTCTCCCTCGACACGAACACACCAAACCACGAGATTTGGTTTCACGTTGTAATCTCGCCCTCAACGTGACTAGAAATCTCGGTCTCCCAGTTAAACTTAACTGGCGTCAGGACGAGCAAGGCATGAGCCGGTCGACCGGCACAAACTAGACCGGCACATTTTTTTTTCATGCTGCCACTTTTCTTAGCCTCATTAATGGAATAACAGAAAACCTAAAAGCCGGTTCTTGAAAATTGTTTTTTTTCTTCTGCCTGGTAAGTAATCGAAGGCAGGGGGAGGGGCAATGGGGGGGGGGGGGGGAGCGCTTACTCAAACATATCTTCAGAAAAGATCTTTACTTTACGCCTTTATCAAACTAAATCTGAAGGTTAAGAAAAAAAATAACATATATATATATATATATATATATATATATATATATATATATATATATACATACATATATATATATATATATATATATATATTTGTATTATATATATATATATATATATATATATATATATATATATATATATATATATATATATATATATATATATATATATATATATATATATATATATATATATATATATATATATATATATATATATATATATATATATATATATATATATTTATTTATTTATTTATTTATTTATATCGTGTTAGCACTCGCCGTCTAAACATTTCCCGAATATATAGCTACACCATTGTCAGTATGATATTCTTTGTCCTTCTCGTTCTATTAAAATTAAGAGCATCTAAAGATGTTCACTAAAACAAAAATAATTGACTAGTTCTATAACTTGTGGGTATTGTTGCTCTAACTTACAGTTCATTTTGTCCTTAACGAAATGAATCCAAACAGAAGACCTAGCACATCTCCGTGTCTTCCAGCCCACTAGGTCCCATACACCCAAAGTGCAATGATGAGGATAAAAAAAACAGTAATTTAAAAATCTAATTAAACAGGTAAAAACAGGACGAGGCGCGGAGTGAAAGATTTCCCAGGACATTTTTTTTATCCCGATCTTCTGTTTTGCTTTTTTTTACTTCCCCAATCATTCAACATTGAGCTATCATAAAAAAATTATTATGTATAGCAAACATTTTTAAATCTACATCTCTTCCTTAATACACACACACACACTTACACACACACACATACACACACATACACACACACACATACAGACACATACACCCACATACATAAATATAATACATTTATAGGTTTGTGTGTCTTGTCTCTAATTCTGTCGATGAAACATTTCCATCTCTCTAGAGACAGAAGTCAAACTTTGTCATTCTATAGACAGATATGAAACTTTACCTTCTATAGACAGACATCAAACTTTACCTTCTATAGACAGACATCAAACTTTACCTTCTATAGACAGAGATGAAACTTTACCTTCTGTAGACAGACATCAAACTTTACCTTCTGTAGACAGACATGAAACTTTACCCTCTATAGACAGACATCAAACCCTACCTTCTAAACAAATAAGAAACTTTATCTTCTATAGACAGACATGAAACTTTACCTTCTATAGACAGAAACTTTACCTTCTATAGACAGACATGAAACTTTACCTTCTGTAGACAGACATGAAACTTTACCTTCTATAGACAGACATGAAACTTTACCTTCTATAGACAGACATGAAAACTTTACCTTCTATAGACAGTCATGAAAACTTTACCTTCTGTAGACAGACATGAAACTTTACCCTCTATAGACAGTCATGAAAACTTTACCTTCTATAGACAGACATGAAACTTTACCCTCTATAGACAGACATGAAAACTTTACCTTCTGTAGACAGATATGAAACTTTACCCTCTATAGACAGTCATGAAAACTTTACCTTCTATAGACAGACATGAAACTTTACCCTCTATAGACAGTCATGAAAACTTTACCTTCTATAGACAGACATAAAACTTTGACCTTCTATAGACAGACATGACTTAACATACAACAAAGAGATACGAACTCTCTCATATAGCTGCAATTGGGAAGCCTAACACACACACACACACACACACACACACACACACACACACACATACACTATTCCCCTTCATGTATGAATGGTATATTGATGTACCCAACTTTATTGAGGAAAAAATCTAAGGGCTGAAATTTATTGCTAAAAGCTTTTTGAAACCAACAAAATCTTGGACAACAGACCCCAACATAAAGTTTCACCCCGTCAGATAGAGATGAATAGATAAACAGAAAGGAAACTGGTTATGGTATGTGGATAGTTGTCATAACCAGTAGAAAGTGAGATGGATTGTGGCTAGCAGTAAAATAAACATTGATGGTATGTGGCTAGCAGTAAAATAAACATTGATTGTATGTGATTAGCAGTGATTAGTAAAGTAGCAATAATAAAATTACTGATTTAAGCCATAGAAAAATTGATGGTATGTGGCTAGCAGTCAAAAATGAAGTGATGCTGATGTTCTTCAGAGAAATAGTGATGGTATGTGTCTAGCAATAATAAAATTACTGATGGTACTCAAAGAAATAGCGATGGTATGTGACTATCGACCATAAACGGCAAAAGTTCAATGGTATGTAGCAAGCGACCGTACACAGGAAAAAGTCGATAGTTATCTCAAGAATACATCATTTCTTTTATTAATCTTGAAAGTAACGAACTCCCCAAAGGGACGCAACACGCAAATATTTGCTTAGTGCGCGTTAGAAAAACAAGCTCAGACCACTTCTTCCATTCCTAGTGTTTACATTTTTTAATCGTTGTGTTTTTTAAATTCCGTATTGCGTTATGTCGAGATCTGCAATGTCTTCTTGGAGGTCCGCGTTGATTCAACATTCGATCAAACAAACAAATCATCGCAAAAGCACGCTCAAGTTAGATTAAAAAATAAAACGCAATTATTGACGATGGATATTGCTATTGTTATTGTTTTGTAAAAAAGTTATATAAAGTGAAATGTAAAGAATGGCATGTACGAATAACAAATGTAGATATACCTCAAGTGGAAAATACAGATCTACAAATTAGTTTGGACAATTTTTAAACTCCAGGAACTTATTTTGTTTGCGATAGATTAGTTTTGCACATCAATATCTGCATTGTGTGGGTTTAGGAAACTACCCCAACCCCGGTGTATTACACCCCCCTCATCCCTATCATGAAGCACCCTGACCCTAACCCCCCCCCCCCCTTTCCACAAGTTCAATACCGGTCATTTACACACGTAATTACCCCCTGTCAATTACCCCTCACCCACTCTATCCCCCTTAATTCCCCCCGACCATCCACCCCCCGGGTAACTACCCCCTTTTAGAATACATATTGCAACTCTACTTTACCTTATCCTAATTCCCATCCAATCCACCTTCATATCCAGCTCCACAGTCCTAAACCCAACCCTAACCCCACTATATCCTCAACCTAGCCCTACCCGCGTTATATATGTAAATGAAAGGTAGGTAATTGACAATGGATAATGTCTTACTGCAATTTTTTGGGCTGGGGTAACTACTCGGGTAATTAATATGAGCTAATGACGTAAACCTCACAAAACATAAAATGTATGCGAAGTATATCAGACAATTACATAAAATGTATACGATGTATATCAGACAAACATATAAAATGTATACGATGTATATCGGACAAACATATAAAATGTATGTGAATTGTCTTTCTCCCCAAGAGAATGTGGTATTAGGAATGCCAACTGACATGAAGACGCCTGATTGGTCCAAAGGGTCACGTGCCGTAGATGGCGACATCGGTACCTGTGTGACGTCAACAAGCAACAGAACCGGCTGGTGGCGCGTGGACATGCTCGTGCAGAAAACTGTTTTCTTCATGGAGGTTTTGTTTGGTGAGTAGGTTTTGTTTGGTGAGTAGGTTTTGGAGGTTTTGTTTGGTGAGTAGATTTTGTTTGGTGAGTAGTTTTTGTTTGGTGAGTAGGTTTTGGAGGTTTTGTTTGGTGAATAGGTTTTGTTTGGTGAGTAGGTTTTGGAGGTTTTGTTTGGTGAGTAGGTTTTGTTTGGTGAGTAGGTTTTGGAGGTTTTGTTTGGTGAATAGGTTTTGTTTGGTGAGTAGGTTTTGGAGGTTTTGTTTGGTGAGTAGGTTTTGGAGGTTGTGTTTGGTGAGTAGGTTTTGGAGGTTTTGTTTGGTGAGTAGGTTTGGAGGTTTTGTTAGGCGGGTAGGTTTTGGAGGTTTTATTTGGTGAGTAGATTTTGGAGGTTGTGTTTGGTGAGTAGGTTTTGGAGGTTTTGTTTGGTGAGTAGGTTTGGAGGTTTTGTTTGGTGAGTAGGTTTTGGAGGTTTTGTTTGGTGAGTAGGTTTTGGAGGTTGTGTTTGGTGAGTAGGTTTGGAGGTTTTGTTTGGTGAGTAGGTTTGGAGGTTTTGTTTGGTGAGTAGGTTTTGGAGGCTTTATTTGGTGAGTAGGTTTTGGAGGTTTTGTTTGGTGAGTAGGTTTTGTTTGGTGAGTAGGTTTTGGAGGTTTTGTTTGGGGAGTAGGTTTTGGGGGTTTTGTTTGATGAGTAGGTTTTGGGGGTTTTGTTTGGTGAGTAGGTTTTGGAGGTTTTGTTTGGTAAGTAGGTTTTTTTTTTATGAGTAGATTTTGGAGGTTTTATTTGGTGAGTAATTTTTTAGGTATTGTTTGGTGAGTAGGTTTTGGAGGTTTTGTTTGTTAACTTTTGGAGGTTTTGTTTAGTGAGTAGGTTTTTGGAGGTTTTGTTTGGTGAGTAGGTTTTGGAGATTTTGTTTGGTGAGTAATTTGTGTGATTTGATTTGGTAGGTAACATTTGGGGATGGTTATTCTTTAGTGATCAACGTTAGGAGTTTTATTTGGTAACTATGGCCATTATGTAATTTGTAGGTATGGAGATTTTGTATGGTAAGAAATATTAGAATCTTTTTTACTTATCTACCTACATTCTTCAATACATACCCCCCCCCCACCCCAACTGTCAATTAGCCCACCTGCACCCCCTCCCAGGTCCCTAAGGGTTCCAGCGTACAAAGAAACAGCGTGTTAATTATTCCAATTGCCCTTTATTTACAACTCTATCAACTTTCTGTAGCGCCATACGTACGTTTTCTGGGAACAATGGCAGATGTCAATCATGGAACTAACCAGTAGCGTACGCAGGGGGGGAGCAGGGGGAGCGGCCGCTCCCCCTCTGGCCATTTTTAGCAAAGTGGCGCCTTTTTGGAAACTTTTTAACATTGATATTTGTTAAAAAATATCTTTGGTCGGCACATTTGAAACGTAAATCTCTGTGAATATTGTTTTTTTCAATTACCAGTAAAAGGTTTGTGAGCAATACAGTGATCTAACCCATACCTTCTCATTATGTTAAAAAATTATCTTTAAAAAACACAAATTGTCAGTAGCAATTTAAAAAATTGCATGATTTTAAATGTAAGACCGCTATTATTGTTATATGTAGGCTATTATTCCGAACGTCTAACGTGTAAGTGAAATGCTGGCTTTTATAACAACTCTGATTTTAAAAACTTTCATTATGCTGTAATACTTTAGCATTTATAATGACAATATATTTAATTCTGAATTTAAACAAATAATTTTTGTAAAAACGAATAGTGTTAAGCTACTTTATTAGATTCTAAAGTAATTATTGATTTGTTTTGATATTTATAATAAAATGTGTAGACATATACGTTATTATATTAAGATAGTGATTATTTCCCCTTTACTCTAGACTTAGACAAAAATTGCGAAACAGATTATGCCGCGTTCATAGTTTTTTGGTTGCAGTGTTTATATATATATATATATATATATATATATATATATATATATATATATATATATATATATATATATATATATATATATATATATATATATATATATATATATATATATATTTTTTTTTTTTTTTTTTTTTTTTTTAGAGTGATGCCATATTTTTTTGTTTCGTCGGCCTACATTGTGTGTTTTTTTTCTTCAGAGTACTTATTTAAATTTATTTTACATCATATCGAAGCAATAACATACAGCTAATATATGTATATATATATATATGTATATATATATATATATATATATATATATATATATATATATATATATATATATATATATATATATATATATATACTTATATAGAAACTATTACATATTCGGCGCCTTTTTTTGCTATTTCCGCTCCCCCTACAACGAAAACCTGGATACGCCTCTGGAACTAACTAAACAATGTTCATCACATACAGATCCATTCACGTTTGGCTAGGTTGAATGGAGGGTAAAGGTACTAAATCTGGTCTACGTGCATCCTTTGTATACTCAATTTACGACCTTCACCTTACGGTATTTCAATGACTGAACCAAACAGCTTTTGGTGTCCGCTACGTCACACCATAAAACGCTATATAAACACCACTCAAACAATAAACACCATTTCAAAAGATATATAAACACCATTCAACTTACCCTTAGCTTAACCCAAATCATAATCATAAGCATACAACTTAGAAGCCTCTAGTGTTGTGGTACGTCTAATCCTCTGGAATAAAGCTTTCCTCCCATGGGCAACCACACGGCCCACACCATAACCCAAACCGAGGGGTTCCCAACCCTGTGCCACGGGCGCCATGGCGCCCGCTGAACGATTCGTATGTGCCCGCCGCTCACTATTCGACAGAGACAGATTTTATTTCAATAACATTATTTTAAAATATGATTTATTTTTATTCAGTTGTTACAGTTTTAATTTTTTTTTTTGACTGCCTAGGTTTATTAAATATGTTCGATACTTGTCCCAACTTGTCTAGCGGCGAGCCAGACTGCACTATTTACGTTTTGTAAATACATTTCTCTGTATGTATGCAATTTGAAAAAAAAACATTTTTGTTTATTATTTATTAATACAATATGACTATAAGAAAATAAGAACATAAATTATGGGAAAATGACAAGTTATGGAAGGAGTTTGTCGATTTAAAATAGGTGGTGCCCGCCACCCTACCGATATTGTAGAATGTGCTCTAGAGTAAAAAAGGTTGGAAACCCCTGCCCTAACCTATACCAATCTTCTAGTCTAACCCGTTGTATGTCAACCCTCTAGCACAAAGCTTCCCTCCCACATCCAACCACACATAACCCTAACCTGTGGTACGTCTAACCCTCTAGAACGAAACTTTCCTCCCACAGCCAACCACACAGCCCGCTCTGGGCGAGTACGTGTGCACGTGAGTGACTACGTGGACACGTTCTGGGGCAAGCCGTGCACGTACATACCCGCCTCCTACAGGATCTACCAGTTCTCGTGCGACGTCCCCTCCACGGGCCGGTACTTTGGGATCATCAACAGGGACGGTCAGATCACGCTCTGTGAGGTGTTGGTCTTTGGTGAGTGATGGGGCTTGGTTTGTGTGGGGTTCGTGTGGGGTTTGTATAATGTTTGTATGGGGTCTGTGTGGGTTTGTGTGGGGTTTGTATGGTGTTTGTATGGGGTTTGTATGGGTTTTTTATCGGGTTTGTATGGGGTTTGTAGTGTGTTTGGAATTTGTTTGAGGCTTCTATGCGGTTTGTATAGTGTTTGTATGGGGGTTTATATGGGTCCCGTATGGGGTTTGTATTGTTTGACTGTGATGTTTGGTGATGCTTGATGAGGGTTTATATCGTGTTTGGTAGGAAGTGGTAATTGTTTTATGTTTGACGAAGATGAAAGGTGCGTAGGATTGTTTTGTTTGGTATCTAGTATTTGGTGTGTGTTTTAGTTTTCGAATGGTTGTTCTGATGTTTGCCCAATTTGCTGTCTTATTGGTTGTCCTAAGGATGGTTCTGAATGGTCGCTCTGATGGTTGTTTTGATGGTTGTCTTAATGGTTGTTTTGATGGTTGTCATAATGGTTGTTTTGATGGTTGTCCTAACGGTTGCTCTGATGGTTGTCCTAAGGATGGTTCTGAATGGTCGCTCTGATGGTTGTTTTGATGGTTGTCCTAATGGTTGTTTTGATGGTTTCATTATGGTTGTTTTGATGGTTGTCCTAATGGTTGTTTTGATGGTTGTCTTAATGGTTGTTTTGATGGTTTCATAATGGTTGTTTTTTTTATGGTTGTCCTAATGGTTGTTTTGATGGTTGTCCAAAGGATGGTTCTGAATGGTCGCTCTGATGGTTGTTTTGATGGTTGTTTTAATGGTTGTTTTGATGGTTTTCATAATGGTTGTTTTTTTATGGTTGTCCTAATGGTTGTTTTGATGGTTGTCCTATTGGTTGTTCTGATGGTTGTCATAAGGATGGTTCTGAATGGTCGCTCTGATGGTTGTTTTGATGGTTGTCTTAATGGTTGTTTTGATGGTTGTCATAATGGTTGTTTTGATGGTTTCATAATGGTTGTTTTTTTATGGTTGTCCTAATGGTTGTTTTGATGGTTGTTCTAATGGTTGTTTTGATGGTTGTCTTAATGGTTGTTTTGATGGTTTCATAATGGTTGTTTTGATGGTTGTCCTAATGGTTGTTTTGATGGTTGTCTTAATGGTTGTTTTGATGGTTTCATAATGGTTGTTTTTTTAATGTTTGTCCTAATGGTTGTTTTGATGGTTGTCCTAATGGTTGTTCTGATGGTTGTCCAAAGGATGGTTCTGAATGATCGCTCTGATGGTTGTTTTGATGGTTGTCTTAATGGTTGTTTTGATGGTTGTCATAATGGTTGTTTTTTATGGTTGTCCTAATGGTTGTTTTGATGGTTGTCCTAATGGTTGTTCTGATGGTTGTCCGAAGGATGGTTCTGAATGGTCGCTCTGATGGTTGTTTTGATGGTTGTCCTAACGGTTGTTTTGATGGTTGTCCTAATGGTTGTCCTAATGGTTGTTCTGGTTGTTGTCCTAACGGTTGTTTTGATGGTAGTGATGTACAGTTACCACCAAATGCCAGGTTATTGTCCTATGTACTCACCCCCTATCATCCCCACAGTGTGCGCGCCCTACACATTCGGCGTCGACTGCTCCCAAGAGTGCGCATGTCTAGACCCCAGTGAGCAGTGCAACCCCATCACCGGCTCCTGTACTTCCGGTTGCCGGGAAGGTTTGACCGGAACTTCATGCAACAAACGTAAGCCATTTTAATTTTTTCTAACCATTTTTATCTCCCCTTTCCGTTTCCCCTCTCACAGCTGACCATTGTTAAAACTTTGACGAAAACATCAGCGGGTTAATGAAATGTATTCAACTAGTTGAGCTTTTACTTCAAGGGACTTAACCCCTGCTGACTACCAAGACACGAAAACAGGAAGGTGCCGTTGTGTAACAGTGGTGTGCCAAGAAGCTGTTTAAAATCAATACATTCTCTACTGGTGATGGGGGTGGGGGAGTAACTGTGGGGGGAAGGATCGACCTAATTATACGATGTGGCCAACAGAGTGGAGAAGACAACCGTTGTACCAACATCTTCCCCTGTTGATCTCCCCTTGTCGTTATCCGGCTACATCCGCTCTTGTCGGTTTAATCTTTTAATCGGAAAAGATACTTTGTCCTCCCGGTCCTGAGTCCTATCTGATGTCTACAGTAAACTACGGCAGCTGGTGAATAATTCATGAGGACAACACCGGACTGTTACCACTTTGTTACCACATGGTTTTTTTTTATATGGGTTGTGGTTTTTTTTTATTCAAGGAAATCTGATTTCAATGGATCTGAATCTCTACCCACTAGCCCGAGGGGTGAGGGAGGGGGGGGGGGGGGTCAGACGTTGTCTGATTGGTTGGCTGGTGTAAAGGGAATCACGTGGTGAATAGATATCGTCAGAAGATGAACCCAAAAAAAAATGGGGGGGGGGGGGTGTCTAGTCTCTAGAAATAGAATTGTCTAAAAATAGATGTTGCTGTTCATAAATATAAAAACACTTATTTTGTGAAAGCATAACTTGACGTCATTGCTTGATAGAGGTATCAGTTTCGCTTTACAGATTTCGACCGTCTCAAACAAGTTTTTTGACTGCCTTGTTTTTTTAATACGTCACGTGTTCAGCTTGCTACCATGGCGATGGGAAAAGATGGAAACAACAAAAAACCTATTGAAAAGATTTTTCACTCTAACCCCCCCCCCCCCCTCCCCGCCCCCTCCCTCACCCTCACTGGCTATTGACGACCATCAAACCGACCACCCACCAATCGAACCATCTACCATCAACCGACCAATTACCAAACACCCACCAATATCCAGCAAAAATCTATAGAACATCCACCTATAACTCACCGAATATACAACAACTATCCTTTCACCATTCACCTACCATCCACCAACCAACCATCCACCAACCATCCACCAACCAACTACCCAACCCAATAATCCATCAACCATCCACCAACCAACCATCCACCAACCATCCAATAATCCACCAACCATCCACCAATAATCCCCCAACCATCCACTAACCAACCATCCACCAACCATCCACCAACCAACTACCCAACCCAATAATCCATCAACCATCCACCAACCATCCACCAACCATCTACCAACCATCCACCAATCAACCACCAACCACCAACCATCAACTAACCATCCACCAACCAACCATCCAACTCAACCATCCACCAACCATCCACCAACCAACCATCCACCAACCATCCACCAACCATCCACCAACCATCTACCAACCATCCACCAACCATCCACCAACCAACCATCCAACCAACCATCCACCAATCAACCACCAACCATCAACCAACCATCCACCAACCATCAACCAACCATCCACCAACCATCCACCAACCATCCACCAACCAACCATCCACCAACCATCCACCAATCAACCACCAACCACCAACCATCAACCAACCATCCACCAACCATCCACCAACTATCCACCAACCATCCACCAACCATCCACCAACCATCCACCAACCATCCACCAACCATCTACCAACCATCCACCAACCATCAACCAACCATCCACCAACCAACCACCAATCAACCATCCACCAACCATCCACCAACCATCCACCAATCAACCATCCAAACCATCCACCAAACTTTAACAACATTTGTCAGATAACATGCTTCCAGACGTTCTCTAATGGCCTGCCCCCTCCTAACCACACCCCCTGCAACATCCCCACCCTAATTCTGGATCCAATTCCAGACTTCCGACCTCTCCTGAAGTTACACGACCATAACGCGATTTGGCTGCTAGGTCAACATGACCTGTTATATTGTTTCCCGGGCAAAAAAAAAAATTGTTTCTAAAATTGAAGATTTGTTGACTTCCTATATCGTCTGTGAATGTTAACAAATCTTAGACACCTACAAGGAGAATGGATAGAGACATCACAAGGGGGAGATTACTCCGAAATCGACATTTCAATGTTGAAGCATTTTTTTACCATAACTGGATTATCGACTTTCTTTAAGGCAACAACGTAATGACGGTTCTCACAATGGTTTATATTGGTACACGGAGACAATTTTATTTCATACTATCCACAAAGGAAACAATCTATAGTACCCACACTGTCAACATTGACACAAGGGAGGTAATTTTAGAATTCTCACACTATCCATAAGGGAGACAATTTTATTGTACTCACACTGTAAACATTGGCACAAGAGAAATAATTACCCCCACATGTCATCACGTGACAGTTATAAATAGAACCGTGCTTTTCAACATGTCAACATTCCAACCTGTCTTAAAATAACTTTTTTTTATGCCCATATGACGGACATAGACCTTGTATATTTATGTCAGTTACTTGCACATGTTGCGTTTCTACTAATTGTTTGTATATACTGATAGTCTGATAGACTGTTCTGATTGTGTATTCCGTGTTAGGAAGTTTCAAGATACCATTTTTTTATATCCAATGTAAAGACACGGCACATTGAGCACTAGAACTGACTCGCTCATTCTAATATCGATATACAAAAATTCATTATCACGATACAGAACATAAGATATTTCAACACATCGTTTAAAGATACCTCTTTAGACCTAACTATCCATTGGGGGAGATGAATTTGAGTTTATAAATTTCTTGAACTCGTCATGTAAAAGAATAATGTGGTCAGCACTATCCACAGCCACCTTTACTTTTCATACTGTGAGTTAAGTACCCATCAGAGCTAGGTGGACTCCACTGACGAACCCGGATTCGAACTCACGACTTTCGGGTTTGCGGTCTAGCGCTCTATCTGCAGGCCACAACAAATCTAGTATAGAATACGCATATAGGAAGAATCAAATGTTTAGTAGATGGAACGTGTTTGATTATTCCGATGAAAAAAATTCCGTTTTAGGGACATGCTCTTGTTTGACAGATACTCCAGAGGGTATGACTACACGAAATACTGCAAGTATTCTAGTATATTTGGGCGAATAATTTCTTTTTTCTAATACACGATTCTAGTATTTATAAGTAGGAGTCATATTTACCTCCTCATTACTACTGTATTCATTCATTCATTTTTTTCATTTATTCTATTACGGTAACAATAACGGAGGCCTTTTTTTCACATTGGCCGTTGTTTTTATATAATAACATTTTAATAAAAAAGAAACTGAGTTTAAAGACATACCAGTAACATAGTATTCAAAAATTTAGAATTAATAATGGTAATATATAGTTTTGATACATAATGGTATAGAATAGGAATATAAAAGATAAATAAGAAATGTTGCCATGGGTCAGTTAAGGAGGACATATTTTCAGATGTAGAGTTTATTTTATCAGGAAGATTGGTCCACGAATTAAAATAGGGGTTGGCGAAGCTTTGGCTTTTGAAAAATAGTTTTATTTATTTGTAAGCAAGACTAAATATCCCCTCATTACTACAAGTCTCTACTATCTACATGTAGGACTAAATATCCCCTCATTACTACAAGTCTCTACTATCTACATGTAGGACTAAATTTCATCTCATTACTACAATTCTCTACTATCTACATGTAGGACTAAATGTCCTCTCATTACTACACGTATCTACTATCTACATGTAGGACTAAATGTCCTCTCATTACTACACGTCTCTACTATCTACATGTAGGACTAAATTTCATCTCATTACTACAATTCTCTACTATCTACATGTAGGACTAAATGTCCTCTCATTACTACACGTATCTACTATCTACATGTAGGACTAAATGTCCTCTCATTACTACACGTCTCTACTATCTACATATATAGATATTGCCGTCACTACTGCTCGATTCTGTTTGCCCTCACGTTTGTTCTAGTCGGTATCTATTGAGTACCCCACCCCTCAAGCTTGAGACCCCCTGTACAAGACATCCTGTAGAACGCTGGCCGTGCATTAAGGTCTCGTTGATTCCACTCACGTCCGTGGCCCGGGCCTAGCTATCCCGTGGGCTCGGGTTTCTAACCAAAAATTATCTTTCTTCAAAGACCTTAAAAAACAACTACTGTCTTCCGGTTCGATGGGGGAGGGGACAAATGGGGGAGGGGACAAATGGGGGAGTGGACAAATGGGGGGGTGGACAAATGGACGGAGATGATGATAGATATATTTCACCCCTCCACATTTTTGTGTAGCATATCTTTGCTATCAAGAAATTAACAAGATAACTTTACCACATTAACCCTAATTGTACCACTGTTAGCCAAGTTTACCCTTATTGTGCCGCTGGTAACATCGCGAGACCTCGTCTGATGCTCTTGCATTGCCAAACGACAGCCAATTTCAAAGACTTCCGGTAATCACCCAAAACTTGGTCATGTTTTTATAATTATATTTCGTGTATTACACGAATTAGGGCAAGGATATCGACATAGTAGCTTCCCCTTGTGGGAGTAGCTTCCCTTTATTGAAGTGACTTCCCCTTGAGAGATGGCACAAAAGAGATGTGCAACAAGGGAGGGTACTGTGCTCTCTATCACACTAAGTCATCAGCCTTGAAGGAACTCGGTCACTGCTGGACATGTTTACGTTTTTTTTGGGTTCTCTCCCGTGTTTGGCGGGCATTAACAGAAGTTTTTTTTACACAAGGAAAACAAGCAAATTTACTTCCAATCATTCATACATTGATTTTTTTTCTGGGAAAAGGTCAGACACTTTTCTCAATATATATATATATATATATATATATATATATATATATATATATATATATATATATATATATATATATATATGTATATATATATATATATATAAAGTGGATCGGGGGGAGGTGACACCGAGGTGAAATTAAAACTTTAGATTGACGTAATTTAACGCGTAAATGATGGCACTAACTGACAATGTTGAGAAAATATTTAGTCCTGTGGTTAAATAGGTCACATTATTGGAATTATTTAACTCATCAACTGTGAAGTATATAATTGATTGTGTAATACTATCATACTACCATCACCATTTCAACCTTTGTGATTCTGCCATACCTAACCTCTCCCGATCTCCTCCCTGACCCAGCGTGTAGAGGCAGGTACGGCCGTGGTTGTCGTCAAGTGTGTGGTCAGTGCGCAGGTCAGCAGTCATGTGACCCTGTGTCCGGTGTCTGTTCCGTGGGGTGTGCACCTGGCTGGGCCGGTGCCAGATGTCAGACAGGTGAGTGGTCAAAAGTCTCAGGGGTGGGAGGGGCGGGGGGTGTTAAAATATCGGTTGTTCAAGTTATACGTAATGGAGGCGTAGGGTCAGAAAAATTATATAAGGGGGGGGGGGGGGGGGGATAATAGCTTTTAACATTTTAATCTATCAATTTCTTTCTTATTTTCCTGATTTTGTTTCAACTATTGACTAAGTATGAGTTCTTTTTAAAAAAAACAACCAAATAGAAATATTTCAACAAATTTACTTTTGGAACCAAACATACCTAATCTATATCAAGGCCACCCTAATATTTCTCTGCCCCCCCCCCCCACAGCCTACTTACCCTAACATTTCTCTGCCCCCCCCCCTCCTACCTACGCTAACATTTCTCTGCCCCCCCCATCCTACCTACCCTAACATTTCTCTGCCCCCCCCCCAGCCTACCCTAACATTTCTCTGCCCCCCCACCCTGTCTACCCTATTTCTCTGCCCCCTCCCCACAGCCTACCTACCCTAATATTTCTCTGCCCCCCCTCAGCCTACCTACCCTAACATTTCTCTGCCCCCCCCACCCTGTCTACCCAATTTCTCTGCCCCCTCCCCACAGCCTACCTACCCTAATATTTCTCTGCCCCCCCTCAGCCTACCTACCCTAACATTTCTCTGCCCCCAGCCTACCTACCCTAACATTTCTCTGCCCCCAGCCTACCTACCCTAACATTTCTCTGCCCCCCCCCACCCTGTCTACCCTATTTCTCTGCCCCCTCCCCACAGCCTACCTACCCTAATATTTCTCTGCCCCCCCCCAGCCTACCTACCCTAACATTTCTCTGCCCCCATCCTACCTACCCTAATATTTCTCTGCCCCCAGCCTACCTACCCTAACATTTCTCTGCCCCCCCAGCCTACCTACCCTAACATTTCTCTGCCCCCCCCCACCCTGTCTACCCTATTTCTCTGCCCCCCCCCCAGCCTACCTACCCTAACATTTCTCTGCCCCCAGCCTACCAACCCTAACATTTCTCTGCCCCCCCCCCCACCCTGTCTACCCTATTTCTCTGCCCCCCCCCCCAGCCTACCTACCCTAATATTTCTCTGCCCCCAGCCTACCTACCCTAACATTTCTCTGCCCCCCAGCCTACCTACCCTAACATTTCTCTGCCCCCCCCCCAGCCTACCTACCCTAACATTTCTCTGCCCCCATCCTACCTACCCTAATATTTCTCTGCCCCCATCCTACCTACCCTAACATTTCTCTGCCCCCCCCAGCCTACCTACCCTAACATTTCTCTGCCCCCCCCCCCCACAGCCCACCTACCCTAACATTTCTCTGCCCCCATCCTAACTGCCCAAACATTTCTCTGAGCCCCCCCCCCCCCCCCACAGCCTACCTACCCTAACATTTCTCTGCCCCCAGCCTGTCTACCCGGCACGTATGGGGTAGACTGTGTCCACGAGTGCCATCGTTGCCTTGACAACAGCACGTGCGAGCCCGAGAACGGCACGTGCCCCTGGAGGTGTGAACCAGGCTGGCAAGGTCAGAGGTGCGACCAACGTAAGTAGGTCAAGGGCGTTAGTAGGTCACGGGCGTTAGTGGGTCACGGGCGTTAGTAGGTCACGGGCGTTAGTAGGTTACGGGCGTTAGTAGGTCAGGGGCGTTAGTAGGTTACGGGCGTTAGTAGGTCGCGGGCGTTAGTAGGTCACGGGCGTTAGTAGGTCACGTGCGTTAGTAGGTCACACGTGTAACAACACGACCAGGCTTAGACAAATTTTAGAAGTGATTAACAGGGGTATTGAATCATTGGGGGGGGGGGGCAATACCAAGGTTACACACAATCACGACTTACTTTAATTAAATGAACTACATAACAACCAAGCTACGACACAGACATCAATGTTTGGGTAGCTGGGTGGGGGGGGGGGTAGGTGGGTTGGTGCCTGGGTGGTTGGTTTGTTGTGTGGGAGGATGGCTGGATTTACAGTGTTAACGATTTTCATACATCTATATTGTCTTGAATAAAATGACGTAATACACAGCCTACAGTGCTCTGATGACGTAGTACACATCCCACCTATAACTGGCTTATCTCTCTTTTTTTCACCCCCCTCAGCCTGTGGGGCGGGGAGGTACGGCCAGAACTGTGAGTTCCCCTGTGGCCACTGCTACGGTACCTCGGTCTGCGACTCCAAGACCGGGTTCTGTCCCCTGGGCTGTAGCTCTGGGTACGAAGGACTTTTCTGCACCAAAGGTAGGGACCGCGGTGGTGGGGAGGATTGTGTTTTCAAGCTTTTTGGTTCTTGTTTTGTCAGGTGTATGTTTGTAAACAATTTGTGTTTGTGTTTTGTGTTTTGTTTTTGTGTTTTGTGTTTTGTGTTTGTACAGTGTACTATATCCGTGCGTCTGCATTTCATGTCTCAATTTGTGTCTCGTTTGTGATTGCCTTTGTGTCGTGTCTGTTGTCTTGCCTCGGTCTTGACTTTGTTTTTCTGTTTTAGGTCTGTTGAATGTCTGCATGTCTTGTCTTTAATTTATGTTTTATAATCATCTCTTTGTCTTACCCCCACCTTGTCCGTGTTTTAAGTCTCTTATCTCTGCTTTTCTGTCTTAAGTCTATCTTACCCCTTTAAGTCTGCTTCACCCCGTGTCTTAAGTCTTTTTGACCCCTAACTTGTGTCTTAAGTCTTTTAGTAAATTTAAATCACGTTCAGGGCACACACAGTTGTTCCGTTTTTAACCCCCTCCCCCCCCTTTTTTTTTAGACACCGTGTCTAGCATTAAAAAATTGCTAAAACTTGTCTTCGATGAACATTTTAAAACACTATCAAACTGAAAAGTAGCGCGTACATACTGCACAATATAACTCCAAGCAGGTAAAGTTGACAGAAAAAAATGGCCCTTGTGAAGAAGAAAGAAAACTTGTCCCGCGAGAGAAGAGAGGACAGTATGTAAACAAAAGATGACCTGACTCCCACAACGGTCAAATGAATACCAAACCAGATTATCGTCTGCGCGAGTCAGTTCTGCACTGGGCACCTAACCTGTTTATGCTCACGTCTGATAGATGGCGCTGCTGCCCCGGCACGGTGTCAGCACGTGCATTCAATGACTGCTCACCCTCGTAATTCACTTAGCTCATGCCTTCTGTCATTGGTGTATAGCTGTATAATCATCATGATCATCGTCGATATCAGCGTCGCCATCATTAACATACTGTCTGTGCCTTTCTTGTCAAGTCTATAAAACTATTGTCCATTGCCTAGCCTATAACATCATGATCTATTTCCTAGCGTATAACATCATCTATTGCCTAGCCTATAACATCATGATCTATTTCCTAGCGTATAACATCATCTATTGCCTAGCCTATAACATCATGATCTATTTCCTAGCGTATAACATCATCTATTGCCTAGCCTATAACATCATGATCTATTGCCTAGCGTATAACATCATCTATTGCCTAGCCTATAACATCATGATCTATTGCCTAGCGTATAACATCATCATCTATTGCCTAGCGTATAACATCATCATGTATTGCCTAGTCTATAACAGCATCATCTATTGCCTAGCGTATAACATCATCTACTATATGCCTATAACGGCATCATCTATTGCCTAGCCTATAACATCATCAACCATGGCCGATCCTGTAACATCATGTACTAGCCTTTATCCTAGCACTGAGTAGTCGAGTGGTAGATCTCTCGACTGTTAATCCAAAGTCTCGAGTTCGGATCCCGGGATTCAGTCTGTAGGACGTTCCTGGGTTCGCTCAGCTTTAATGAGTACCTGACTCATGTCAAGGAAACCAGATCAAATGAACATAGTGCCACAATATCCCACTAGGGTCATTGCAACAGATAAACGAGATGATTGTTACGATGCTAATATACTATCTAAGACCAATGTCTCACCTCTATCTGTCTCTAAGACCACTGTCTCACCCTCTACCTGTCTCTAAGACCACTGTCTCACTTCTATCTGTCTCTCGTCTCTAAGACCACTGTCTCACCCTCTACCTGTCTCTCAGTCTAAGACCACTGTCTCACCTCTGTCTGTCTATCAGTCTAAGACCAATGTCTCACCTCTGTCTCTCGTCTCTAAGACCAATGTCTCACCTCTACCTGTCTCTCGTCTCTAAGACCACTGTCTCACCTCTACCTGTCTGATTCCAGAGTGTCTACCTGTCTCTAAGACCACTGTCTCACCTCCACCTGTCTGATTCCAGAGTGTCTACCTGTCTCTAAGACCACTGTCTCACCTCTACCTTTCTGATTCCAGAGTGTCTACCTGGCCTGTGGGGCCCTAACCTGTCTCTAAGACCACTGTCTCACCTCCACCTGTCTGATTCCAGAGTGTCTACCTGGCCTGTGGGGCCCTAACCTGTCTCTAAGACCACTGTCTCACCTCTACCTGTCTGATTCCAGAGTGTCTACCTGGCCTGTGGGGCCCTAACCTGTCTCTAAGACCACTGTCTCACCTCTACCTGTCTGATTCCAGAGTGTCTACCTGGCCTGTGGGGCCCTAACCTGTCTCTAAGACCACTGTCTCACCCTCCACCTGTCTGATTCCAGAGTGTCTACCTGGCCTGTGGGGCCCTAACTGTCTCTAAGACCACTGTCTCACCTCTACCTGTCTCTAAGACCACTGTCTCACCTCTACCTGTCTGATTCCAGAGTGTCTACCTGTCTCTAAGACCACTGTCTCACCTCCACCTGTCTGATTCCAGAGTGTCTACCTGTCTCTAAGACCAATGTCTCACCTCTACCTGTCTGATTCCAGAGTGTCTACCTGTCTCTAAGACCACTGTCTCACCCTCTACCTGTCTGATTCCAGAGTGTCTACCTGTCTCTAAGACCAATGTCTCACCTCTACCTGTCTGATTCCAGAGTGTCTACCTGTCTCTAAGACCACTGTCTCACCCTCTACCTGTCTGATTCCAGAGTGTCTACCTGTCTCTAAGACCACTGTCTCACCTCCACCTGTCTGATTCCAGAGTGTCTACCTGTCTCTAAGACCAATGTCTCACCTCTACCTGTCTGATTCCAGAGTGTCTACCTGTCTCTAAGACCACTGTCTCACCCTCTACCTGTCTGATTCCAGAGTGTCTACCTGTCTCTAAGACCAATGTCTCACCTCTACCTGTCTGATTCCAGAGTGTCTACCTGTCTCTAAGACCACTGTCTCACCCTCTACCTGTCTGATTCCAGAGTGTCTACCTGTCTCTAAGACCACTGTCTCACCTCTACCTGTCTGATTCCAGAGTGTCTACCTGGCCTGTGGGGCCCTAACCTGTCTCTAAGACCAATGTCTCACCTCTACCTGTCTCTAAGACCACTGTCTCACCTCTACCTGTCTGATTCCAGAGTGTCTACCTGGCCTGTGGGGCCCTAACCTGTCTCTAAGACCAATGTCTCACCTCTACCTGTCTCTAAGACCACTGTCTCACCTCTACCTGTCTGATTCCAGAGTGTCTACCTGGCCTGTGGGGCCCTAACCTGTCTCTAAGACCACTGTCTCACCTCTACCTGTCTGATTCCAGAGTGTCTACCTGGCCTGTGGGGCCCTAACCTGTCTCTAAGACCACTGTCTCACCTCCACCTGTCTGATTCCAGAGTGTCTACCTGGCCTGTGGGGCCCTAACCTGTCTCTAAGACCACTGTCTCACCTCTACCTGTCTGATTCCAGAGTGTCTACCTGGCCTGTGGGGCCCTAACCTGTCTCTAAGACCACTGTCTCACCTCTACCTGTCTGATTCCAGAGTGTCTACCTGGCCTGTGGGGCCCTAACCTGTCTCTAAGACCACTGTCTCACCCTCCACCTGTCTGATTCCAGAGTGTCTACCTGGCCTGTGGGGCCCTAACTGTCTCTAAGACCACTGTCTCACCTCTACCTGTCTCTAAGACCACTGTCTCACCTCTACCTGTCTGATTCCAGAGTGTCTACCTGTCTCTAAGACCACTGTCTCACCTCTACCTGTCTCTAAGACCACTGTCTCACCTCTACCTGTCTCTAAGACCACTGTCTCACCTCTACCTGTCTGATTCCAGAGTGTCTACCTGGCCTGTGGGGCCCTAACTGTCTCTAAGACCACTGTCTCACCTCTACCTGTCTGATTCCAGAGTGTCTACCTGGCCTGTGGGGCCCTAACCTGTCTCTAAGACCACTGTCTCACCTCCACCTGTCTGATTCCAGAGTGTCTACCTGGCCTGTGGGGCCCTAACCTGTCTCTAAGACCACTGTCTCACCTCCACCTGTCTGATTCCAGAGTGTCTACCTGGCCTGTGGGGCCCTAACCTGTCTCTAAGACCACTGTCTCACCTCTACCTGTCTGATTCCAGAGTGTCTACCTGTCTCTAAGACCACTGTCTCACCTCTACCTGTCTCTAAGACCACTGTCTCACCTCTACCTGTCTCTAAGACCACTGTCTCACCTCTACCTGTCTGATTCCAGAGTGTCTACCTGGCCTGTGGGGCCCTAACTGTCTCTAAGACCACTGTCTCACCTCTACCTGTCTCTAAGACCACTGTCTCACCTCTACCTGTCTGATTCCAGAGTGTCTACCTGTCTCTAAGACCACTGTCTCACCTCTACCTGTCTCTAAGACCACTGTCTCACCTCTACCTGTCTCTAAGACCACTGTCTCACCTCTACCTGTCTGATTCCAGAGTGTCTACCTGTCTCTAAGACCACTGTCTCACCTCTACCTGTCTCTAAGACCACTGTCTCACCTCTACCTGTCTCTAAGACCACTGTCTCACCTCTACCTGTCTGATTCCAGAGTGTCTACCTGGCCTGTGGGGACCTAACTGTCTGTGGCCCTGTGGTCAGTGCAGTGACCCAGCCTGCGACAGGGTCACGGGGTTCTGTGACGGCACGGGATGTCGTGCCGGCTGGTTCGGCAATACCTGCTCCCAAGGTGAAGTAGAGTTGATGTAGTGCCCTGTGCTGTTGATTGGTTGTTGTGTAATATATGAGGTGGTGTGACATCGATTCCATTTTGTTTTCTTTTAATGTTTTCTTTTAGCTTAAGTCACATAGTGACATTTTAGTGTAGTTCACTTAATGACATTTTAGCTGAGGTTACAAAGTGAAAATTTAGCTTAGGTCATATAATGACATTTAGCTTAGGTCATATAATGACATTTTAACTTAGGTCACATGGTGACATTTTAGTGTGGAAAGGTAGGAGTAAGGAAGTTTAATAAACGTAATTTGATAACCTTTTCTCTGAACAAAGGGACAATACTCAATTAACTCCTGTTACTTGTTTTTATTCAAGGGGAGAGCACGCAATAAATCTTGCGAAATTTAAACTAATTGCATCGCATAGAGAAATTTAAACCCCATTCGATGTTGTTGTTTTTTTTCGACACATCTGGTAACCAAAAAAGTTGTTAGGTGTTAACATTTGTTAATTATTTGTTACACTTACAGTACTGAATTAAATATCAATTATATTAATCTACGTCAACGCTTAGTAAAAACCAAATAAAACACGCTAAAACCAAAAGTTTAACCAAAGCTAACCCCAAGTTAAACTATAGACAATTGAATCTGCTAAACCTCTGTTAAACCAGTAATAAATCACAATGTTAAATCACAATTAGACCACGATTAAATCACAGTTAAACCAATGTTAAATCACAGTTAAACCAATGTTAAATCACAGTTAAACCAATGTTAAATCACAGTTAAACCAATATTAAACCACAGTTAAACCAATGTTAAACCTTCTATATTCCCAGTGTGTCTGCCGGGGACATACGGTGCCAACTGTCAGCAGAAATGTGGGGCGTGCCAGTCGTTTTGTGACGTCACAGACGGGGCCTGTCAATCAAGCTGCTTGCCGGGATGGGAGGGACAAACGTGTAGTCTAAGTAGGGACATTTGTAGGGACAAACGTGTAGTCTAAGCAGGGACATTTGTAGGGGATGGGAGGGACAAACCCGTAGTCTAAGTAGGGACATTTGTAGGGACAAACGTGTAGTCTAAGTAGGGACATTTGTAGGGAAAAACGTGTAGTCTAAGTAGGGACATTTGTAGGAGATGGGAGGGACAAACCCGTAGTCTAAGTAGCGACATTTCTAGGGACAAACGTGTAGTCTAAGTAGGGACATTTGTAGGGAAAAACGTGTAGTCTAAGTAGGGACATTTGTAGGGGATGGGAGGGACAAACCCGTAGTCTAAGTAGGGACATTTGTAGGGACAAACGTGTAGTCTAAGTAGGGACATTTGTAGGGAAAAACGTGTAGTCTAAGTAGGGACATTTGTAGGAGATGGGAGGGACAAACCCGTAGTCTAAGTAGCGACATTTGTAGGGACAAACGTGTAGTCTAAGTAGGGACATTTGTAGGGACAAACGTGTAGTCTAAGTAGGGACATTTGTAGGGGATGGGAGGGACAAACGTGTAGTCTAAGTAGGGACATTTGTAGGGACAAACGTGTAGTCTAAGTAGGGACATTTGTAGGGAAAAACGTGTAGTCTAAGTAGGGACATTTGTAGGGTATGGGAGGGACAAACCCGTAGTCTAAGTAGCGACATTTGTAGGGGATGGGAGGGACAAACGTGTAGTCTAAGTAGGGACATTTGTAGGGACAAACGTGTAGTCTAAGTAGGGACATTTGTAGGGAAAAACGTGTAGTCTAAGTAGGGACATTTGTAGGGTATGGGAGGGACAAACCCGTAGTCTAAGTAGCGACATTTGTAGGGACAAACGTGTAGTCTAAGTAGGGACATTTGTAGGGGATGGGAGGGACAAACGTGTAGTCTAAGTAGGGACATTTGTAGGGGTGGGGACATTTTGTAGGGGTGTGAGGACATTTTGTAGGGGTGGCCACATGTATCGGGGTATGGGGACATTTTGTAGGGCGGGACATTTTGTAGGGTAGGGACATTTTGATGGGTGGGGACATTTTGGGCGGGGACATTTTGTAGGGGTGAGGACATTTTGTAGGAGTGGGGACATTTTGTCGGGTAGGGACACTTTGATGGGGTAGGGACATTTTTTAGGGTATGGACATTGTGTAGGGTAGGGACACTTTGATGGGTAGGGACATATTGAAGGGATTGGGACATTTTGTAGGGCTGCGGACATTTTGTAGGGGTGGGGACATTACGTAGGGGTGGAACATTAGGTAGTTGTAGGGACATTTGGAGGGTAGGGAAACTTTGTAAGGTAGGGACATTTTGTAGAAGTGGGGACATTTTTGTAGGGGATGGGGAAATTTTGTAGCAGATGGGGGACATTTTATTGAGGTGGGACAAACTTGTAGCAGGTACAGTAAGTTTTTAACCTCCAGCCAACATAACCTCTGACCTTTGACCCCCAGCCTGCAGCAACAAGACCTACGGGACAGACTGTCAGTCAGGGTGTGGCCACTGCGCCAACGGCGAGCCTTGTCACCACATCAGCGGCCATTGCCTGCGCGCATGCGTGGAGGGCTACCAGAAACCTTTATGCCAGACACGTATGTTTTCAAATCCTTTTCTTTACATGTCACACTCCTGATTTTTCCCATTTTGTAAATATGTTTTTATTGTTCCCATCGATGCTGTGATTTTGTTATTTCCTCTCCTAATCAGATTTTCTTACTCTTAACTCGTATATGATAACTAACTTCCTCTCCCCCCCCCCCCAAGTTTTAACTTTTTTTCCTCCGATGTTCTTATTTTCCCTTATCTTCCCCCCCCCCCCCCGCCCCTTCTCCTACCATGTAAAACCTACCACTCATGTCACGTGTTGCTATCCCCCCCCCCCCACAGGTGCAGAAACCCTCCTGGAGCAGCTGGGCAAGCCCAACCTGCTCACCCTCCTCGTGGCTTGCATGAGCGTGTTTGGCTGCACCATCTTCGGCCTCTCCACCTGCCTGCTGCTCAGGTGGCGCCAACACAACCAGCAGACGACCGAGCCGTCTGCTCCAGCCTTCAAACAAACGGTTGTATGACGTCACAGATCTAGGTTTCAAACAAACAATTGTGCGACGTCCTGTCTTTATTATAATTCCTTCAACGCCATGTTTTATTACGTCATGTTGTAAGTCATTAGCGTGTTAAATAAATTGAAATTCCGACGGCACTTTACCAGGCCAGGCGTGGAAAGATCATTTTCAAGATGGCGTCTTGGACATGCTCAGTTCACCTACTTTGACCAGTTGGTTATGACAAACGTATGATGTCATCATCTAACAAACAATACCACACAACTCGACCCGTAAATCATAAGATGACGTATAAGGTCACATATTGACCAGTGACGTCATAAAGTCGACCACTTTATCTCAGAAGTTGGCCCGTGGTGTCACATACACTCAATACTTTCACAGAGCAGTCCCGTGTTTACTGGGAATGGACGAGGGTGGTATGGTACCAGAATCACGGCATCTTTCATCAAACTGTAGGTGGTTAGCTGTAAACGTGTGCACCCTGAATGGTGCGCAACATGTTAGCCCGGTGTTAGCTGCCACTACTTTGAACACTATGAGACTAGATCTAGCAAGATTTTAACCGTGATACCGGCAAGGTTTTAACCACGATACCAGAAAGATTTTAACTATGATACCAGAAATATTTCAACCATGACACCGGAAGATTTTAACCATGATACCAGAAGATTTTAACCATGATACCAGAAAGATTTTAACCATGATACCAGAAAGATTTTAACTTAGACCACCAAGATATGAACATACCTAAGTTAGACCACCAAGATATGAATATTCCTGATATAGCTAACCCTAAAAGACACATACCCAAACAACTGTCACTATTTATTCCATTGATATTTCATGTGTTGATGCAGTTGATGAGAACATCACAAGACACTGGTGCCAAAAACGAACTAAAGATGTGTACTTTTCTAATGTTTGTATTTGAATGCATGTTTGAAAAGCTGAGATTATTCAGGGAGTTCAGTTCTCTATCGTGTATCAAATATTAAGATTCGCAATCAGTGAAGGGAACATTGGAGGTGACACTGAAGGGAACACGGAAAGGAACACTGAATGGAACATGGAAGGGAACATTGGAAGGGAACACTGACGGGAACATGGAAGGGAATATTGAAGGGAACATGGAAGGGAATATTCGAGGGTAACATTGGAAGGGAACAGTGGAAGGGAATACTAGAGGGGAACATTACACTTGTGTCTTGTCAACTAAGGCAGCCAACATGGCCATTGGCAACTTGTACAGTATTTACATCACGTGTCACGTCTAGTGTCACGTCACATATTTACATCACGTGTCACGTCTAGTGGTACGTCTTATATTTACATCGAGTGTCACGTCAAACCATATTTTAACAAGTATCACGTCACATCACGTTCAACGAGTGTAAAGTCAATGTAACACAGATGTCACGTCAAACCACACTCAACTATTTGCAACATTTAGCAAGTGACACGCGAAACTCTAAAAAAAAAAACGCTATATCGACGAGTGTCACGTCTGATAGTTCAACGAGTGTCACGTCACACAATGTTAAACATAGACCTGATCACGTTTACCAACCCAGTACTATAACCTTGACCTAGTTTAGAGTATAGTCTAACTCCCCCTCATCATAAGAAGTTTATCTAACGACAACAGCACTTTCAATGTATTTGCCATTACTTCACCTCCAGTTAGTCAGTAGATAAATAACTTTGAGACCATTAGACGACCTTGACCTCCACAACTCTGACCTTCACCTTATATTATTATCCCCCCCCCCCCCGCCACTCACACATACTTTGTGCATCATCTTTATTCACCAATGTATGTATGCCCTAATGTACATGTATATAGATGTCTGCCTTAAGCCCTGAACACTCATCAAACGTAACTGAACACATTCAAACATGTGTTGTAACTGAACACATTCAAACATGTGTTGTAACTGAACACATTCAAACATGTGTTGTAACTGAACACATTCAAACACATGTCATAAATTTGACTTGACTGAGATCACACATTAAAAACATAAAACATCACGATTCAACTTCTAATTGATTCCTTGTATTTTATGACGGGACAGCGAATTATAGATTTAGATAATCTTGTTTGTCTTGTAGCTACGTGATCACAGAGTGACTAAACTTTGTGATTACAGAGTGACTAAACTTTGTGATTACAGAGTGACTAAACGTTGTGATTACAGAGTGACTAAACTTTGTGACTACAGTGTGACTAAACTTTGTGATTAGAGAGTGACTAAACTTTGTGATTACAGAGTGATTAAACTTTGTGATTACAGAATGACTAAACTTTGTGATTACAGAGTGACTAAACGTTGTGATTACAGAGTGACTAAACGTTGTGATTAGAGAGTGACTAAACTTTGTGATTAGAGAGTGACTAAACTTTGTGATTACAGAGTGACTAAACTTTGTGATTACAGAGTGACTAAACGTTGTGATTACAGAGTGACAAAACTTTGTGATTACAGAGTGACTAAACTTTGTGACTACAGTGTGACTAAACTTTGTGATTAGAGAGTGACTAAACTTTGTGATTACAGAGTGACTAAACTTTGTGACTACAGTGTGACTAAACGTTGTGATTACAGAGTGATTAAACTATGTGATTACAGAGTGACTACACTTTGTGATTACAGAGTGACTAAACTATGTGATTACAGAGTGACTAAACTTTGTGACTACAGTGTGACTAAACTTTGTGATTAGAGAGTGACTAAACTATGTGATTACAGAGTGACTAAACTTTGTGATTACAGAGTGACTAAACTTTGTGATTACAGAGTGACTAAACTTTGTGACTACAGTGTGACTAAACTTTGTGATTACAGAGTGACTAAACGTTGTGATTACAGAGTGACTAAACTTTGTGATTACAGAGTGACAAAACTTTGTGATTACAGAGTGACAAAACTTTGTGATTACAGAGTGACAAAACTATGTGATTACATGATGAGAAAACTCTGTGATTACAGAATGACATAACTATGTGATTACAGAATGACAAAACATTCTGATTACAGAATGACATAACTATGTGATTACAGAATGACAAAACATTGTGATTACAGAATGACAAAACATTCTGATTACAGAATGACTAAACTATGTAATCAGTGACAAAACTATTTGACTGAACTATTTGAAGAAGATTGACAAGTTTGTTCTATCTTGATTTTAGCTGATTGTAAAAATAATGTTCACAACATAAAAAAACAGTTCTTATTAAAATGAAAGCAGAACTTATTGTGTTTTCTACAGTCTCTTTGCAAAATCCTGGCACTTAAACTAAACTTAATCCCAACCTTAACCATAAACCTAATCCCGACCCTTATTGTAAGTTTAACCTCGCCACGAACTGTAAATCTAATACCGGCCCTATCTTTGGGGTTAATCCCGACCCTAACCTTAAGCTTAATACAAGTAATACCGACCCTATTGAGTCTAAAGAGACTATACCAACACCATGCTTGTATTTTAAAACAACTCACAAAACAACGCATTTGGACAACAAGGGGAAATAATCAGATAAACATAGGTGTATAGGTTCAAATATTTATTTCCTCCCCTTGTATGACCAACCACAACAATGTAGAACACGCCCCCACCATTGGTGGACTTAGCAATGTGTACAGCACACGTCAGACGCTCACAATTGGAAATTCCGCCATCTTGATTCACCTTTGACCCCTGTGGGTGCCTAGGAAGACCAACCCCCTATGTCCCAAAGATATTTATAGGACTAATCCTTACTAGTACAAATCAAATACAGTATAGCAATCATTACAATTGATTCAAAAAAGTGTGTATTAAATATAATATATAAAATACAATGTTTACCTAAAGCATAAATTATAAAAATCGTTTATCAAAATTTTTTGTATATAAAAGTATGATGAGACCGCTTTGTGAAGAAATATGATTTACAAGCCGCTGTCTTTAAAAATTTGGTTTCGATACTTTCTGCCTGTTTATTTTTTTAACCTGTCTGTTTAATCAAGACAACGATCCTCATTGGCCTACACCTCTAGCGACACGCCCCCATTTTACTTCCTGGCCAATCAAAACATCGTATACACAATCAACCGTATACATTTTTTCCCCGCAAGTTCTAAATCAGTCAACGAACAATTTTCGCTGGCACTAGAACATCAAAATTCGCTTCATTGTTCGGTTCTCTGTTCGCTTGTTCCCTTCCTCATCTCATTCAGATGTGTGTATCTACTCACACAGATAAAACTCATTCCCTTGAACCAGATCACAATATCTACACATCACGTGACTATCAACCACGTTAATCAATTCGTCCAGATTATTATCAATCTCGTGTTTGTAGCTCTTCAACTAACTAAACAAACAAACGACCTTGTCCTTCGGATACAAAAAACAGTTACTTCTCGTAATTCACTATGCCCTTTTTTTATATCGGTTACAAAATAGAAAGTCCAACTTGAACGTCATAGCCACAGCTACGGATGAAAAAAGAAAATGATGAAACAGCTCCAGGGATATACGTCCACGTATTTTCATGTCGACATCAGGTAGTAGATGGTACCACTTAACTTCGATCTGGCTTTAATAAATCTTGTACATTTGTTCTTATGAGATTTTCTACTCAGTTTTAAAAAAATAATACATTCATATTTTAGCAATAAAGATGGACATTGATATATCGAATTTAAAGTAAAAATGTAATCTCAAATGAAGACACGGTTTAGTGACGTCAGAAGGTGCAATCAAAGTCCATATCGATGTCGTCATCCTGCTTGTTCCGGTCAGTGCTCTCAGAACCGGAAGTTGCCCCCTTGACATTTTTGATGTCCTTGACCGCAAACTCCTTCCTCTTGTGGAGCTGGACTTGTCGGTTGATGTTGGCAAGTATCAGACGTTCTTCATAATTCAGGCCGCACCTGCAAGACGGCACGGGTTCAAAACCAACGGGGACCACGTGGAGACATTTGCAACTGGGGTAGGGACAGATTACCACAAACATGTCATGAGTCTTATTAGAGTTAAACTGCGTAAACCATCGCTAGACTCGGATTTTGATACAAGTAGTGGCGTGACGAGGTCGGGTGTCACCCTGTCCGCCCCCCCCTCTCCTCGCTACGCCTCTGGATACAAACCCTGAACGACTTTGATCATTACACAGTGTATAGTTTCAATTACAAAGGACCTAACGATTACAACAGGGATGGTGTGGTGAGATGGTAGAGTTCACGACTGCTAATCTGGACGTCGCGAGTTCGGATCCCGTGCTTGAGCCTGTAGGACCAGCTCTGATGAGTACCTGACCCAAGTTATGGAAACAAATGGTGTGTAGGCATGGTGCTGACCATACTATCACGTTGTATGCCGTGGTCGTTGAAACAGATGAACTCTACTACATCTTCACATTGTGTCTTGGGCACGAACAGGGGAAAATGTAGATGAATATTTATAACTGCACAGAGCATATGTAGATATCACTACACTAGGTGTTCACTTTAATGACGATGTGTCCGCGCGGTAGAGCGCACGATTACAAAATCCATTTTTTTCGTGTTCGATTAGATCAGAAGCCCTTATGATTTTCCTAACTTACTAAGTTTTGATAGTTACCTGAAATGGGCTAAAGAGAGTAAATAAGTTTAGGAAGAGAACTAGCCCCAATTGATGTAAAAATGAACGAGTGAACTCTACTTCAACTAGACCGTCAGCTACTAGTGAGTAACTATACTTTTTCAGTACAATTAGCTTACCACTAAACCAGCACTATACTATTATCGATATACTGGGAGTATACTTTAATTGAAAATGCTTAGATCATACTATTATCGCTCATTGGAACTATACTTTTCTAAATATAATAAAGAGATACTATTATCAATACACCAGGACTATTATTATCGCTATACTGATAGTATACTTTTCTTATAAATGCTAAAAAGATAGTATTATTGCTACATTGTAACTATATATTCTAAATATACTGAAAAGATACTGTTATAACTACACTAGGACTAAATTATTACCGATATACTGGGAGTATACTTTTATTACAAATGCTAAAATCATAGTATTATCGCTACATTGGAACTATACTATTCTAAATATACCGAAAAGATACTATTATAACATACTTGTATTACAAGTGCTAAAATAATAGTATTATTATGGAACTATACTGCTATAAGTATACCGAAACTATACTATACTGCTATAAGTATACCGAAACTATACTATACTGCTATAAGTATACCGAAACTATACTATACTGCTATAAGTATACCGAAACTATACTATGTGTCATTGCTCCAGGACTAGATTGTTAAAACTTTTCAGGTCACTGGGATAAAACCATACTGTATACTTTCATCACCACATTGAAACAAGATCTCTACTATTATCACTATACTAACTCTATAATATTATCACTACACTCAAACTATACATTTATCACAATACCGCAGTAGCGTAGCGAGGGGGGGGGGGGGCGGGGGGACATATGTCCCCGGGCGCCGACCTTAGGGGGCGCCAAAATGGGTTGGAAAAATAAATTGAAAGGTTGAAGGGGTGCAAATCGAAATCTTGAGGGGGGGGGTGCAAATCGAAAGTTTGAGGGGGAGTGCAAATCGAAATCTTGAGGGGGGGGGGTGCAAAAAGGGTCGCTACGCCTCTGCAATACCGTATTACCAAACTGAGACTTTAAGGCTATATTATAATTTCTGTACCAAAACTATATTATTATCTCGACAAGAGAAAATATCTCACACAAAATATAGCTATTTTGAAATACAGACAAATAGCATTGATATTACTATTTTAACTGTTATTGTCAGACAGTGTAATAGAGCTTTCTACCCTACATTTCATCTAAATGTTAGACTTTTTAATGAAAGAATTAAACGTCGACCTACAATGTAAACATACATTTGGGATAATCCCACTATAATCTAGTGGACCGGGTTAAGCAAGATCAGCTGACAGCACGTACAAAGGACAATGAAGTCAGTTTTAAACCAATGGTAAGTGTATGCCACGGTACAAGAGCAGGTTTAGCCCATACAATGTAAGAATTGGGTTGCTGTTGTCAGTGGCGTAGCCAGGAATTGGTCATAGGAGGGGTTCAAATATTTTTCCAAATGTATAAAATCATATATATATATATATATATATATATATATATATATATATATATATATATATATATATATATATATATATATATATATATATATATATATGTATATGTATATATATATATATATGTATGTATATATATATATATATATATATATATATATATATATATATATATATATATATATATATATATATATATATATATATATATATATATATATATTATATATATATATATATATATTATATGGGTGTGAGTCCATGGGAGGGGTTATAACCCCCCTAAACCCCCTTGCCTGCACCACTGGCTGTTGTGGGTTATAGTTTGATTGATGGTAGCAGGTGACTGTACAAGCGCCCACCTGCCTGTATTTCATGCATCTCTTTGCTATATCTAAACAAATGTTATTTTTTTCTAAAGATAATTTGTCACGCAACATTATTATCACTACACCTAGACTATATTATTGTTTTACCGTACCATATTCATATCACTACACTGGGACTATTGTTATTTCAACTGTACCTTATTAATATCACTACACTAGGACTATATTATTATCATTTCACCTAGGTAGGCCTATATGGAAATATTTTAATCGGACCATGTGAAATATGTGACCTACAAGCCTAACTGAGTGATTTCAAACAAACAAAAAACATGCATAGAATAATTAATTAGACCAACTGTTGCTATGACAACGTATCAAGCTAGTCAGTACTCACTTTCTAGATCTGGTCAGATTTTTAATCGGACCATGTGAAATATGTGACCTACAAGCCTGACTGAGTGATCTCAAAAAAAAAACATGCATACAATAATTAATTAGAACAAATGTTGCTATGGCAACGTATCAAGCTAGTCAGTACTCACTTTCTAGATCTGGTCAGACGTTCGGATATTGTGGCACCATTGGCCTGTGGGAGCAGCCCCTCCCCCGTCATGGGGATGAAGAAGGCCACGCCCCCGTCCCGCTCGGCCGGCTTCAGACCCTCCTCGTACAGCTGTTGCCGGATGCTGCCGATCTGGTCCATGCTCAGGCCCTGGACCTGCTGACACTCGGCCAGCCGGTCCCGGCTTTTCTCGGCCGGCTCCGGGCTGCTTTGTCCGTCCAAGGGCGAGCGCGGGGTCATACACTGAGGGGTGTCACCGGGGGCACACGAGCCCGACCTGGGCCGCATGGCGTCCGTACTCACCCCCGGGGATAAGAAGGTCCGGCTCCGGCAAGGGCTGATGACGTCATGGACGGACCCTCGCTCCGTGGGGTGCAGATAGTGCCCGTCGCCTGCCTCGCAGAATATTTCCGACGGCATGGGTAATCTCTGGTGTGAGGGTGATGTGACTCCCTTGGGTGGGGGACCCTCCCCCGGGGTGGGCAGGCAGGTGTTGAATGGACAGGAGGCCTCATAGGGAACATCGAAGCTCTCGATCTCTGTAATGCCTGGACATGGAGATTGGCAGCAATGTTAGACAGGCAGTACAGTCTAATATACAAGCTAGACGGTGGTTGGGTGGTAAAAGCACACGGCTAACACAACAGACTCGAGTTCGGAGACCGTAGCCTATGTTATAAGGTTCCCCACAGTACGCCCTACTCTGATGGGTACCTGACTCACGTTAATATCAGTAAAACCGGCTAGAAATAGAACTGACCATACAGTCACTTTATACACTCAGGTCACAGGTGAACTCTACTTGATCTACCCCATTACCTGATGGGTAAATTTATTTGAGACACATAATATTAATTTTAACATTCTAGATTGTTTTTTTTACATGTATCTACACGTCGATGTACATAAATCTTGCACTGAGTGAACCCATGTAGAATCCAGGCTATAGTAGAATGGCCAACTGTGAGATTTAAACATAAGGTGACAGATGCACAAGGACCTGATATCAGATGGGGAGGGGGTTGGGGGGTTGTAAATGAGGGTTGGGTCAAATCCTGGCAAACACAGCTCAGCTACGTGCAGTGGCCAGACGAACATGTGAACTCTGCTTCACCTACCCTAAAAACACACGTAACTTATGCTACCGTTTGTAAACAAACTACACAAATGCTGGAGGTTGAACCGTCAAGCGCCCATTTTAAACTCATGAGGACAACCTTGTATAGAACGGCATCATACCATACATCCACACAAATTACAAAACACTTATATCGTGGGTAATAATGAAGGTGTGCTTGTGTGTTTTTATATACCATAAATATAGAAATATAGCCTCGAAGCGATTATTTAAAACCACTTCTGTTGCTGTTAGGGCTAGTGTTAGTAATATGGTCAAGTGAAGGTTAGAGTCAGACTTGGGTTATGTTAGGGTAATGTGTCTTGGTGAAAATAACATCAATAAGATCTAGAGGTGTGTGTCTTGGTGAAAATAACATCAATAAGATCTAGAGGTGTGTATTGGCGAAAATAACATCAATAAGAACTAGAGGTGTGTCTTGGGAAAATAACATCAATAAGAACTAGAGGTGTGTGTCTTAGTGAAAATAACGTCAATAAGAACTAGAGGTGTTTGTCTTGGTGAAAATAACATCAATAAGAACTAGAGGTGTGTGTCTTAGTGAAAATAACATCAATAAGAACTAGAGGTGTGTGTCTTGGTGAAAATAACATCAATAAGAACTAGGGGTGTGTGTCTTGGTGAAAATAACATCAATAAGATCTAGAGGTGTGTTTACATGTGCCAGGCTAGGAGTTGAGAAATGGCTAGCTGTAAATCTGAGACCAGCATTTCGGTAGGATGAAGCTAAAGATTGTCTTAGGTTTCTAATTAGCTAATATAGAGACTGAGTAGCACTCTTGGCTGTGCTAGCTACATAAACAGCCCTGTACTAGCTACATAAACAGCCCTGTACTAGTTACATAAACAGCCCTGTACTAGCTACATAAACAGCCCTGTACTAGCTACACATACAGCCATACTTTGGGTTATATGGAGAGGAGGTAGCACTCTTGGCTGTGCTAGCTACATAAACAGCCCTGTACTAGCTACACATACAGCCATACTTTGGGTTATATGGAGAGGAGGTAGCACTCTTGGCTGTGCTAGCTACATAAACAGCCCTGTACTAGCTACACATACAGCCATACTTTGGGTTATATGGAGAGGAGGTAGCACTCTTGGCTGTACTAGCTACATAAACAGCCCTGTACTAGCTACATAAACAGCCCTGTACTAGCTACACATACAGCCATACTTTGGGTTATATGAAGACGAGGTAGCACTCTTGGCTGTACTAGCTACATAAACAGCCCTGTACTAGCTACATAAACAGCCCTGTACTAGCTACACATACAGCCATACTTTGGGTTATATGGGGACGAGGTAGCACTTTTGGCTGCGCTAGCTACATAAACAGCCCTGTACTAGCTACATAAACAGCTCTGTACTAGCTACATAAACAGCCCTGTACTAGCTACATAAACAGCCCTGTACTAACTACATAAACAGCCCTGTACTAGCTACATAAACAGCCCTGTACTAGCTACATAAACAGCCCTGTACTAACTACATAAACAGCCCTGTACTAACTACATAAACAGCCCTGTACTAGCTACATAAACAGCCCTGTACTAGCTACATAAACAGCTCTGTACTAGCTACATAAACAGCCCTGTACTAGCTACATAAACAGCCCTGTACTAACTACATAAACAGCCCTGTACTAGCTACATAAACAGCCCTGTACTAGCTACATAAACAGCCCTGTACTAACTACATAAACAGCCCTGTACTAACTACATAAACAGCCCTGTACTAGCTACATAAACAGCCCTGTACTAGCTACATAAACAGCCCTGTACTAGCTACATAAACAGCCCTGTACTAGCTACATAAACAGCCCTGTACTAGTTACATAAACAGCCCTGTACTAGCTACATAAACAGCCCTGTACTAGTTACACATACAGCCATACTTTGGGTTATATGGAGACGTGGTAGCACTCTCAGCTGTACTAGCCACATAAACAGCCCTGTACTAGCTACATAAACAGCCCTGTACTAGCTACATAAACAGCCCTGTACTAGTTACACATACAGCCATACTTTGGGTTATATGGAGACGTGGTAGCACTCTCAGCTGTACTAGCCACATAAACAGCCCTGTACTAGCTACATAAACAGCCCTGTACTAGCTACACATACAGCCATACTTTGGGTTATATGGAGACGTGGTAGCACTCTCAGCTGTACTAGCCACATAAACAGCCCTGTACTAGCTACAAAACAGCCATACTTTGGGTTATATGGAGACGTGGTAGCACTCTCAGCTGTACTAGCTACATAAACAGCCATATTTAGATCTAGTATGGAGACGAGGTAGCAACAGCTAGCTTTAGAATGGAGTTGAGTTTGCCGGCTTGACTAGCTGAAACATATTGAGGTACGACATAAAAAACAAATACCCCCCCCCCCCCCCTCCTCCCAGGTAAGACAAAGTACTCACCAGCATCCCTGTCCTGGTTGTCTGTTTGATGCTCACCTTCACCTTGGTGACGTAGTTCGGCCTTCAGGCTCACCTCACTCAACTTTGACACGACGCTGTTCAGATCCAGCTCCTGGTTAGAACCTTCCGGAAACTGTTCCGGCCGTGACCACGTTTTCCCGTCATGACAAGACTTGGGCCGGATATTTCCGGGCGTACATCGGGAGAGACCGGCAAATTGTGTGCAGCTGAGTTGACCAGAGCTGGGCCGGGCATTGGGCAGCAGAACTTCCGACTTGGAGAGCGTCTGTTTGCCGGAAGTTGGCCGGGATGTTTTCTTACCCGGCAGGTTCAAAGGTGGGAGCCGGGTGCCGGCTATCTGAGGCACCGGGATGACCGGCGGGGTCGTGTGAGACGCGGAGACCGGACGAGATCTTATTCCGGTTGGTTTCTGCTCTTGTGACGTGTACGACTTAGCGGATATCGGCCTGGGGCTGCGAGGCGATTGTCTGGCACTGTGAGAGAGTTCCATCCTGCAGGAGCTCGACTTGAGGGGGATTATTGTTTCCTCTACGACACACGGGGACCTCCTGACCAGACTGGCGCTGGAATGCGAGGAGAGAGAATTCTGAGTTTCTGACCGGCACAGCAAAACATTGTCCATTAATGGGGTTTTGGACCTCGCTGATACAGGCCGTGACCTTTGACCTTCACGTGCTGTGACCTCTACAGCGGTAATCACGTGTTCAGATCCTTTAACCGACGGGGGTAAATCCGAGGTGCTTTTGATGAGGGAACTTTTCGATGAGCTGCTGAGGTCGCGGGTCAGCTGTAGGTTGTCGACCAGTCCCGTCTCGCTACACGTGCTACACTTGCTGGACCTGCTGGACCTGGCCGAGCTAGAGCGGGAGTTGGAGTCGCTGCATCTCCTGGAGTAGCGGAACATCTCATCGGCTTCACCGGGACCTAGCCTATGGGACTGATGAGGTGTGTTGTTGTCGCCCGCGTGGTTGTGTGAGGAGGAGAGACGTGGGGCTGCCCCACCCTCCTTTGTATCGACACGTTTATCTTCGTCGGCGCCCGAATCGCAGAGGTCGTCGTTGTTATCGGCCGACACACACCCACTGCTTGAGTCGTCTGGATGAAGACGTTTTTCATCTACTTCATCGATGGAAAGACGTTTTTCGTCTATTTCTTCTGTAGTAAGACGTTTCTCGTCTATTTCTTCAAACGACGGACAAGTTTCTTCCTGTGTAGTGTGTTGATTTTCTTCATGGTCGCAGACATCCTTCACGGTGTGGACATTAACTGCAAAATCTCCTGCCCCATTGGTCGCTTCATAAACTGCTTGACTCTGGTCCAAAGTACAAATCTCCCCTTGATCAGAGGGCAAACAACTTTCCCCAATGTCACAACTGTTTAGAGCCTGCATCGTGTCTTCCTCTGACTGACCACCATACTGACCATTCGTTTCTTGATCTTCCTCGTTACCGTATTTTACTGCTTTCATTTCCATAATATCCAACTGATCCAGTTTTTCTTGTGAATCACTAATGCTTGGAGCATGATAGTCTTGTGTATCACCGATGTTTGAAAGATTGAGTTCTTGTGTATCAGCGATGTTTGAAAGATTAAGTTCTTGTGTATCAGCGATGTTTGAAAGATTGAGTTCTTGTGTATCAGCGATGTTTGAAAGATTGAGTTCTTGTGTATCACCGATGTTTGGTAGATTACAATCCCCGATAGGCTGAGCTGAGTTTATAGAACAAACCACAGTGGCCGTGTAAGGGTTGGGTGGGTTCAGCTCACACCTGCCCTGTAGAACATACACGGAGTTGCTCAGTGTCTCGCCACGATCTAGCTGCAGCTCTCCTTTGCTTTCACTCAGTGAGTCTCGCTCGTCTGGCTTGATAAGCTGAAACCCGTACTCGGCCCGAGGTGGTGGGCTTGGGTCTGGCATCTGATTGTCTCCGTGCTGGGAGAGGACTGAGTCACGGTCCGGCAATTGAGGACCACCCAGATGACGAGAGTTAGAGAGGAAGTCCTCCACCTCCTGGTCGTTGCAACTCACCTCAGACACGACCGGCTGGACAAACGTCTGCACCGTGTCTGGGATTAGCTCAGACTGGTCAGGTGTGGCATCGGGAATGAATGAATCTACCTGGTCAGTTGGGGCATCGGGAATGAATGAATCTACCTGGTCAGTTATCACATGGGGGACAGATGAATATTTGTGGTCAGATTTTTCAGTTATGACATCGGGGAAAAATGAACCTATCTGTTCAACTTTGACATTGGGGACGAAAGAATCTATCTGGTCAGGTTGGTCAGTTATAACATCGGGAACGAATGAATCTATCTGGTCAGTTGTGACATTGGGGACGAATGAATATATTTCACAATGAGGGTTTGAAGGTTGAAACGAAGTCAGCTCTTCGTTTGTGTGGGGTGATTTACACATACCGTTGTGGTTTTCAGCTGAGGAGTGTGTGGGTGACGGTACCGATTTTTCTAGCATGCGAGGATTCGTTTCGACAACCTCAAGCACGTCATACTCGGGAGAGGGGGTACGGGCATCACAACACACATCTTTCTCTTCTAAATTTACCTCAGGTTTCGTCGCTTCATCTTCTCCCACGGCAGTCGCTGGTGTGGTCTCGACGTTCTCGTTGGCTTTGTTCTCGGCATTTTTACGAAACGTCCGAAAAGACGGACAGGTTACAGTGTTGGAGCTTTTAAACAGACATGAAATTCCTTTAAATCTCCGAGAATCGATTGATACCGGAGGATGTTTTCTTGGTTCTAGAGGCAGATGTGGCACATATCTTATACTTTCCTTCGAACTGATGTCACTGTTCCGTGAAACTGCGTCGACTCGGGAGTTCTCTCTAACATCAACAGCTACATTTGTGTTCGTGTTTTCTGCTTTGGCTAACAAGATCGGATAGGGTTCCTCGTCGCTATCGTACTGGGTTGGTCCTTCTGTACGGTACACCACAGGGCTAGGCTGAGTGTCTCCTGCATCTACATGACTTGATTTTACACTGACAGGCTTGCAAAGGTTTGAAACAGGGTCGGCCAAAGTATCCACCTTGAAGTTAACATGGGGTTCGCAGTTACCAACATTCTCCACCTGGTTAACGTTTGCGTTCTTGGCGACTGGGTCGTCTGATTTGATCTTGCCGCGTCTTCGTGTCAACGGTTTAACAACCGCAGACCCCATATCAAAATATTGCTAAGACCACCAGAGACGCAGAGGCCTTTTGCAACCATAAGAACGCGTTCAACTAAACATCCATAATTTGGGGTGGTCTATTTTGATGAATTTCAAACTAATATAAGAAATTTCAAAATATAACTAAAGTACTGAGCGGATTGAAAATAGTATTTCTAGGCTTGAAATTTAAGTTTAAATCCATTTTAATACGAAAAAAAAAATACAAACCACCTTTAAAAAATTGAATAAACTTTAAGTCTTACCGTAATAAGACGGAAGGAAGGTGACGTCATGCAAATTATTTATTTGCAGTAGTTTGTTTTTAAGAAGCATTCGGTTAGAGAGTTTCAAGTCTACCCAAGTTCATTCTGCGCCTGCTATGTTGAGTGCGCACCAGTCTTGCTTGCGCACTAACATTTCAGTTCTGCGCATCTTTTAGACGTGTGCATCAGAGTGATGTTTTTATTTTACTCTTATTGATTGCCGCGGTTTGATTTTAGTATGACCTGCCATGTACAATAGTATATATTGACACTTCATTTATAACAGAAAGTAATTGAAAAAAAACCCATAGATTAATAGAAGTTTATTATAAAACAATGTTGTCAATAAAAACTTTTAAAACAAATCTACCCGAAGCCTAATACCCAAGGCTCCTTACTATTCCCGTAGAGGACTTATATAACACCTCATCAAATCAACAATTAAATTCTGTATTCATAAAAAGTGACTCTGAATTCTTCTAACAAGGTAAAAGTTAAATAATAAATTATGCGTTTTGTTATTGTAATCCAGGGGTTCCCAATCTTTTTTTTTACTCTAGAGCACATTCTAAAAAATCGGTAGGGTGGCGGGCACCACCTATTTTAAATCTACAAACTCCTTCCAGAGGCGTAGCGACCCTTCCCGTCACCCGGGGACAAAACTTTCGATTTGCACCCTCCCCCCCCCTCAAATTTTCGATTTGCACCCCTCCCCCTCTCAAACTTTCGATTTCCATCCCTTTCAACCTTTCAATAATGTTTATGATAAAAATTCTGTCTGTCGAATAATGAGAGGCGGGCACATACGAATCGTTCGACGGGCGCCATGGCGCCCTCGGGCACGGGGTTGAGAACCCCTGTTGTAATCCATATGACAAGTACTCTCAAACATAGAGAACTGTATCCCCACTCTGTCCGACTTCCCCACTCTGTCCCCACTCTGTCCCCACTCTGTCCCCACTGTCCCCACTCTGTCCCCACTCTGTCCCCACTCTGCCCGACTTCCCCACTGTCCCCACTCTGTCCCCACTGTCCCCACTCTGTCCCCACTCTGTCCCCACTGTCCCCACTCTGTCCCCACTGTCCCCACTCTGTCCCCACTGTCCCCACTCTGTCCCCACTGTCCCCACTCTGTCCCCACTGTCCCCACTCTGTCCCCACTCTGTCCGACATCCCCACTGTCCCCACTCTGTCCCCACTGTCCCCACTCTGTCCCCACTGTCCCCACTCTGTCCCCACTCTGTCCCCACTCTGTCCCCACTGTCCCCACTCTGTCCCCACTGTCCCCACTCTGTCCGACTTCCCCACTGTCCCCACTCTGTCCTCACTCTGTCCCCACTCTGTCCCCACTCTGTCCGACTTCCCCACTGTCCCCACTCTGTCCCCACTGTCCCCACTCTGTCCCCACTGTCCCCACTCTGTCCGACTTCCCCACTGTCCCCACTCTGTCCCCACTCTGTCCCCACTCTGTCCCCACTCTGTCCCCACTGTCCCCACTCTGTCCCCACTGTCCCCACTCTGTCCGACTTCCCCACTGTCCCCACTCTGTCCTCACTCTGTCCCCACTCTGTCCCCACTCTGTCCGACTTCCCCACTGTCCCCACTCTGTCCCCACTCTGTCCCCACTCTGTCCCCACTGTCCCCACTCTGTCCCCACTGTCCCCACTCTGTCTGACTTCCCCACTGTCCCCACTCTGTCCTCACTCTGTCCCCACTCTGTCCCCACTCTGTCCGACTTCCCCACTGTCCCCACTCTGTCCGACATCCCCACTGTCCCCACTCTGTCCCCACTCTGTCCCCACTCTGTCCCCACTGTCCCCACTCTGTCCCCACTCTGTCCGACTTCCCCACTGTCCCCACTCTGTCTCCACTCTGTCCCCACTGTCCCCACTCTGTCCCCACTCTGTCCGACTTCCCCACTGTCCCCACTCTGTCCCCACTCTGTCCCCACTCTGTCCCCACTGTCCCCACACTGTCCCCACTGTCCCCACTCTGTCCGACTTCCCCACTGTCCCCACTCTGTCCTCACTCTGTCCCCACTCTGTCCCCACTCTGTCCGACTTCCCCACTGTCCCCACTCTGTCCGACATCCCCACTGTCCCCACTCTGTCCCCACTCTGTCCCCACTCTGTCCCCACTCTGTCCGACTTCCCCACTGTCCCCACTCTGTCCCCACTGTCCCCACTCTTTCTGGTATCCCCACTCTGTCCCCACTGTTCCCACTCTGTCCCCACTCTGTCCCCACTGTCCCCACTCTGTCCCCACTCTGTCCCCACTCTGTCCGACATCCCCACTGTCCCCACTCTGTCTCCACTCTGTCCCTACTGTCCCCACTCTGTCCCCACTGTCCCCACTCTGTCCCCACTCTGTCCCCAATCTGTCCGACATCCCCACTGTCCCCACTCTGTCCCCGCTGTCCCGAATCTGTCCCCACTATGTCCCCACTCTGTCCCCACTGTCCCCACTCTGTCCGACATCCCCACTGTCCCCACTCTGTCCTCACTCTGTCCCCACTCTGTCCCCACTCTGTCCGACTTCCCCACTGTCCCCACTCTGTCCCCACTGTCCCCACTCTTTCTGGTATCCCCACTCTTCCCCACTGTTCCCACTCTGTCCCCACTCTGTCCCCACTGTCCCCACTCTGTCCCCACTCTGTCCCCACTCTGTCCCCACTCTGTCCGACATCCCCACTGTCCCCACTCTGTCTCCACTCTGACCCTACTGTCCCCACTCTGTCCCCACTCTGTCCCCACTCTGTCCCCACTCTGTCCCCACTCTGTCCCCACTCTGTCCGACATCCCCACTGTCCCCACTCTGTCTCCACTCTGTCCCTACTGTCCCCACTCTGTCCCCACTGTCCCCACTCTGTCCCCACTCTGTCCCCACTCTGTCCCCACTCTGTCCCCACTCTGTCCGACATCCCCACTGTCCCCACTCTGTCCCCGCTGTCCCTACTGTCCCCACTCTGTCCCCACTCTGTCCCCACTGTCCCCACTGTCCCCACTATGTCCCCACTGTCCCCACTGTCCCCACTCTGTCCCCACTGTCCCCACTCTGTCCCCACTGTCCCCACTGTCCCCACTCTGTCCCCACTCTGTCCCCACTCTATCCCCACTCTGTCCCCACTCTGCACTTAATACCAATATTGCTAAACTACAGATTCTAGATCTATTCATAATGGTAAATGAAACCAGAATCAAAAGTAAAAAACTTTATAATCATCAACACTTTGGGTTGCTTTTTTTTTAAGCAAAGGAGAGTAACCAAAAATTATGTAAGTTTATTGTTCATCAATGTCATTTAAGCGTCAATCCTTCCATGAATTCCATTCGGGCAGTAAACACCAACTCGTACAGTAGCAATGTGCTTAAAACCTGACCTTTGACATAACCGAACTGACGTGTCGTTGTCTGGCCGGCAATAGACAGCACACGGGAGGTCAAGGTTCAAGTAAGATGTCGTCACACCTCTGATCAGCGCCTCCCCCAGACCCCGGTGTCTGACTTCAGGAGCCACGTATAGGATACCAACGGTGCCATTCTCTGTCCCTACCACGTGACCAAGACATTTACCTGACCTGGTGTTTTAATCATACCTTTGTAGATTTACTCCACATCTTATATATATATATATATATATATATATATATATATATATATATATATATATATATATATATATATATATATATATATATATATATATATATATATATATATATATATATATATATATGGGGGGGTGTGTGTGTGTTTGTGTGTGTGTGTGTATACGATACATTGATCTGAAATTGTGTTTTAACGAATGTCTACTAAAATGGGAAATACATACAAAATACTTTAGCCTATCAACGGATAATATCCCAGAAGTCATCCATTAAAATTTTAATAGAGACTGCTAGTGCCCAGAATTCTTTAAGATCGTTCACATACAATGTCCCTGTAGTTTGTATATGTTGTTTACATCATATACACAGGGGCGTAGCGAGGGGGGGGGGGGGGGGCGGGGGGTGCGGACCGCACCGGGTGACACCATTTAGGGGGGTGACACCAAGGCAAAAAATAGCAAAATATATAGAGAAAAACTCGAGGGGGGGGGGTGCAAATCGAAAGTTTGAGGGGGGTGCAAATCGAAAGTTTGAGGGGGGGGGTGCAAATCGAAAATTTGAAAGTTTGTCCCTGGGAAGGGTCTCTATGCCTCTGGGGGGGTGACACCATTAAGTGCCGCACCGGGTGACACCCGACCTCGCTACGCCACTGCATATACATAACATACCACATAAACGACACGTAGCCTACTTATCAAAGACACCAAGAGAAGGGAAATGGATAATCAGCTGTTCTATGTATTCCTCAGAGTGGGCGTTTCTCAGGGTCCAGTTAGAGTTCATTATAGTTGCGTCCCTCTTTGGTTCCAGAGGGGAGATAATCAAATCTTCTGGCACCGGTCGTCTGTTACTGGCGTCATTGTTTCTAAAGTGGATTTTTTAAAAACAATGTTAAGACATTTAATTTGTGTTTCGGGTGTTGTACACTAGCAAAAACTCAAAAGAAATTTTTTTTTTCAATGGTAATGTGCACATTGATTCTACTCAATATAAATATTTTCGGACAGCCGTCCTATATGGACAAACGTCTATACGGTAAAACGGACTTTGGTCAAACGAAATGGGAGCACGTTTTTAACAGGTAAACATCCATCGCCCCGTTTGTCTGTATGTATCACACAGACCAGGTGAATACAAATCCACGTCACAACACCGGGCCATCTTACCTTTCACTGACGTCACAACTCTGGGCCATC